TAAACGTGGAATTTTTCAAATATTTTTTTTTGTCTTCATTTTTCCTTGCGTTTGAAAATGTTAATTTGGCGAATATATATGGATATTTACAGAGCTTCAAATTTTATATATTTACCATATATTGTAAATCACCAGTTTTGGACAACTTATGTTAAATTATTTATTAATATAATTTTATGAAAGTCATGGCTATTTATCCAGGGCTTGGAGTTCTCAGCCTCAGAGATAGCTTCAGCCTGCTTTCTTTAATTTAAATCTTTATCAATGTGTATTTATATTTAATTGAGTAAGGGTTGTAACAGTTAAATTTTAATATATAAACTTTATGTTTAATTTATTAATATAATCATGTATGTGATCACATAATGTTTCATTACGGATTAATTTGGAAATTAGCTTATTATTTTTCTTTTGTTTAATTAAAATCTAATTTGAGTAAATATATAATGTTTACATATATTGATTACAGTGTAACAATTACTTTTGGTCAGTTAAGGTAACTTTATGTTAAATTATATTATTAATATTATCACAAAGATAATAATATTTTCAGGGATTACCTTTGAAAAATTTAAATACAGCCAGAATTTAATGAGAATTTTTTTTTCTGGTCATTTTTTATTTCTTTTACTGTTAATTTGTAAATAGTTAGCTCGATTGAAAATAGTTCACTACAAAACTATGGATACTGTATTTTTTAAACTGTGTATGTCATAAATTATTTTTAAAAGTAAACACACTAAATTTTAAATTAAAAGATTTTAGATCATATTTTAAGAAAATATGCCATCTTATTTTCTTCATTTTTTCACGAAGAAGAAAAAATACAAACAATGCAAAACAGTGAATTAAAATTGGTATTTTTCTATTACTAAAAACAAATATACTACATATATCTCATAGGGCAGATATTTGCAGTAAAATTAGACCAAGGGCCTAAAAGTTGCTGATAAAACCTGGTTTATATTACATCATATTTTTTTTGATACAACAAACATGTGCTTGCACAAACTAATGTTTTGTTAACACAATAAGTTTTACTCCTTGGGCAAATATTGAAGGCGGAAAACGCGTTCTTGCTGAAAAATTTGTTCACAGTGCAACATTAAAATTCGGAAGAGGTGGTGGTTGATCGTAGCCGCTTGCCGGAATGAATGCCAGATTGTCACATTTGAAGAAGGGCTTCATGATGCAGCAAATCCCGCGGCGTCCAAGTGATGGCAAGGGTCCGTAACAGAGTGGTGCATGCTTCGCCGCCGGACAGTAGAAATGAAATGCTCCAGCCTCGGATTGTAGTTGGAAAAACAAATTTCTTTCTGCAGCTCCGAGAGCCATATTCGTGGCGAGGGTTGTTGAGTGCCTTGTCATCTATTTCAGCCGAATGAGTGTCCTGAAGGAATCGGGTTTAGTGCTTCTTAGGAATTTTCTGGTGGAACAGTTGGAAAAGAATCACGTGTCATTTGGTATTATGATTAGTTTCAATAATGACCGTGAGCCAAGATATTGATCATTTTTCTTTCTGAAACTTTGACTCTACTGGAGTTCAACATTCATATCAAAAAATGATAGCAAAGAACGATTGAAGGGCATTTGAAAAATTCTGGTACACATCATCAGAATAATAGATTGTACAATGATTTGATATTTAAGAAATTTTTACATTATTCTGTTTTAATATTTTTTATTTATCTATAAATATTTTGCCCAAATTTGTAAATTCAATGGCACAGACACTGTAGCCTGGTTAAACTGATAGCCTCAGTAATGAGTCACCAGTATAGTTGGAAAATGAAATTCTGCTTAAGGGAGAGTTGTCAAAAGAGAGGGTTTTGCCATTCATTTCAACGAAAGCTGAAGAAATGAGCTTGGTGCCTTGTCCTGGCTGGTGAATCATGTCACTTGTAAATAATATGATTTAGCATTTCCAGTGGCATAACATATTTCAGTTTTAGTATCAGGTGTTATTAGTAGGCCGAGGTGCTTGGAGGTCAATGCTGTAGCATTTGCAAGTACAATTTATTTAATTTGTCAGGGTGAAAGTCAAACACGTCTCTGTAAACCATAACGGCAATAACACCTCTTGCTTTTTGCGGAGAGTTACCTAAACAGGGAGTTTTGCAGCTTCTGTGGAATGAGGCCCTTCAAAGAATGGACAACCAGCAGACTCAATACTGGGACTTATGGAATATAGCAGCCTTCTTTCTTTTCATTTTTTGCATTTCCTGACACTCAGGGCTTCTGGGACGCCAAAACACTCACAGCAGATCAGTGAGCAGCCTATATTGGAAATAAATGTTTACAAGTGGGTAAGGCCACGTTGTTCCATCAATGCAACAAATGAAATAATGTCCAAAATAAGCAAAGATCATATTTTTAACTCACTTGTTATTTTTTATTTTTTTTTTTTCATTTGTTTCCAAAACATTTTAACAAATTTCAAAATACCTGTGTCACCTTTTTATTAAAATGCTGTTTCTGTGGTCTGGGACAAAAATTCAATTAATGTTATTTGTGATTACGTGAGCCTTCAAACAGGTTTTTCATGTGCCAGGTATTCATACAGTACCTGTATCGCTTCAGCTTAAGAAAATTACCTAAACTATTTTTTTGGGGTATTAAAAAGACAAAAATACTTCCAAAACATGATTTTCATTAAATTCTTGGGCTCACTCAATATGGCTAAGAGATATGGGAAAATACAATTGTAGTACAGAAACAATTTGTACATATCTTGCTTTTTTCTGCCTTGAATAAGTATTTACTCGGATTCTTTTGTCAATATAATTGAGCTTCTTATACTGTTAGTTCAGATAATACTTTTTTACTGTGGGCTGGTTATATTTTGAGGAAAATTTATTATTTAAGTAGTAGTTTAATTGATTATATTTGCTTGTTGTAGCATGCATATTCCTCAGCCAGAAATATGATTATTTACTGAATAAATATGAAGCCATCTGTTGTTGTTGCTTTTACCCACGAGCTCATACGGTCTCTCATGATTGAAGGGAGATGGCTACCTGTAGGGAGCTCCTCACCCTTGCAGCCTGGTAACACCTGGGTGGGATCTCCGGAAATCATCTCCAGCACTCATGGCAACCGCCGGGAGGAACCTCGAGTCTTCTGGCAATGAGCCAGAGTGCTAATACCCGGCCATCAGGTCCTGGGAAGGCACGTGGTGCTGTTGTAGTCACCACCTCAGTAATGACCAAAGTCGATGCTTGATTCGGTGACTGGTCTTATAACCTGTATACTCAGGGCGGTCGTTGGCTAACACGATGTCAGGAAGTGGGGCTCGAACCTCACGCTTTTCGAGAACTAGAAGCTATGCCTTAACATATCGACAAAACATAAAAACATGCCTACATATTTTTCTATTTGTGTATTGAGTTAATTTGCTGTCATTGGGCCCTTATTTTTAAAGAGCGCATTTGCTTTATTGTATCTCAGTTATCTAGCTCTGTCTGCAAATTATTTTTTTTGCTATTTTACGATATGAAAAATACTTATCGTCTGTTGATAGCGTGCTTCTTTTCACAATAAAGTAAGAATGCTGATACTTGCATTTGTAATTCTTATTTCGAAAATTTCTACTGCTCGTCAAGAGAGTTTAAGATGGTCATTACCCCTTAAATGGTTTATAACATTTAATTCACTCATTAAAATCGTGTTTATATTTGTTACATAAAATCAATAATATTCTTTTTTTTGAATTTTATTATCATCCTTAGTATTAAATAATTCTGATTTATCTAGCATTTCTTACCATACATTATTGTATATTTGTGCAGCTTACTTGAATCATTTTAAAGTCCTTTTAGTAGCTTATTTAATCATTTTAAATTCTTCAAACTGTCTGTTTAGTGTTCTTCTTAAATTATTTAATATTATGTTTTTCCTTGGTACTCTTTTTTTTGGTTCAAATAGCTTCAAATATAGTATTATAGTTTATATTTAAAATTGGTTGTTTATCATAACATTCTCTTTTTTAAATATTACAAAAATTATTTAAAAAAAGAGAATGTTGTGATAAAAATAATAATTTTAAATATAAAATAATATAATACAAAATAATATTTGAAATATTTTTTTTTGAACCAAAAAAAAAAAAAAAAAAAATTGCCAAGGAAAAACATAATATTAAATAATTTAAGAGATACTAAACAAACGAATTTGAAAGGAAATTTAAAATGATTAAATAAAATACTAAAGGATTTTTAAAATGATTCAAAATAAGTATCTTATTATCAGTGAAATAACAACATATGTAAACGATAACAATTGAATTAAATAAAATTATTTAGGAGAAGCATGTTGTGATGTAAAATAATAATTTTAAATATACAATAATATAATATGAAATATTTTAAGAAATGCTAGATAAATCAAATTGGTTTTATTACTAAAGGACATTAATAAAAATTCAAAAAAAATTATTATTGGTTTAATAATAACAAATATAAACGGTTACAATGAAATTGAATTAAAGTAAATGTTATAAAATTATTTAAAAAGGGATACAATGTTATCTTAAATAATACACTAAACTATCTTGACAATTTTGAAATTAAATTAATAATGCATAGTTAAAATGAATAGGAAATGTAAACCCCTTTTTCAAGAAATTTCAGAAATAAAATTCACAAATGCAAATTAATTATCGAAACATTTCTTACTTATTAATTGAAGAAGCGTATCTTTAAAGAGCGATAGAAATATTTTCATATCGTATAAAATGTAAAAAATAATTTTGCAAGTGGAATTTAAGATGCTAATTGGGTAATAAAAAATAAAATGCGCTCTTTAAAAATAAATTTAATGACATAAATTAACTCCAAGTACAAAAATAGAAAAATATGTAGACACATGTTTTTTATGTTGATATTTTTGTCATTTAGATATTTCAGAATGGCTGAGCGGTCTAAGGCGCCAGATTTAAGCTCTGGTTCTCGAAAGAGAGCGTGGGTTCGAACCCCACTTCTGACATCGTATATTTTTCAGCCAACGGCCATACCATGCTGAATATACAGGTTCTCGTTAGATCACCGAAGTCAAGCATCATTGGGCGCGGTCATTACTTGCGGTGGGTGACCACCTGGCAACACCGCGTGCCGTTGGCATTCACAAATTTGGGACCTGAATGGCCGAGTGTCTAGCGCTCTGGCGCTCGGTGCCAGAGGTTTCGTTCTAATCCCGGCGGTGCCATGGATGTTTGGGAGTGGTTCGGAATCCACTTTTAAGCCGTAGGTTCCGGTCTCCTATGACTGTAAGAGCGTCACGGAGCCAAAGTCAGACTTCTACCTACGGGTGCTCCATCACAACAGAAGCTGCTTCCTTCCCCTTCAATCATGAGTGCGTATGGGCTCGTGGGATAAGAAACAACAACAACAGATATTTCATATTAATTTATTCAATAAATAATCATATTTCTGTAATTTTTGAGGAATGTATAAAAATATACAACAGAAAAAATCTTAAAATATAATCAATTAAACCTATACTTAAAATAATAAAAGATAAATTGATTTTTTATCCAAAATATTTTATTACAATAAAGAAATATTATCTGAACTAACGGTATATAAAAGAAGCTCAATTATATTGGTAAAGAATCGAATAGAAAATACTATTCAAAGGCAGAAAAATAAGATATAATAAGCACAAATTGAAAAACCTGTACTTTTATATTCTAATTTGCATTTTTTTTTATATCTTATTATGTTAATTGAATTTAAATTTAATGAAAATCATGACAAATTAATTTTTTGTCTTTAATTTAAAATGGATTTAAGAATTAATTTTTCTTAAATAACAGAAGAAAATATTTGATTACTTTGAACTTTAACATAGAAATATAACATAGAAAAAAACTTAAATTTGAAACCATATACTGATTTGAAATACTATTAATCACAAAAAATGCTGCATTTTAATTCATATTTAATCATTTAAGATTTTGTCAATCATGGTATTCCATTTTAAATTGTAATTTTAATAAAAAGACATTTTAAGGTATTACAAATTTGTTAAAATGTTTTTAGATAAATGAAAAAAAAATTATTAAAAATATGTTAAACACAAATTAGTTAAAAATATGATCTTTAATATTTTGGACGTGAGCTTCGACGGTTGAGATTGATGGTCGACCAGAGGTTTATATTGTTTATACCACTTGTAAACATTTATTTCCAATATAGGAATGCTCACCGAATGCCTTCTGCAACATTCTATCCGTTTCCGCAAACAAAATTCAATGCAAGGTCTTTGCTGAATTAGTTCAGACATTTCAAAATCGCCGGAATCAGTTTTGGCGTCTCACAAAGCTAAGGGTAACTCAAACACTAATGAATATTTTGACGTCAAATTTCCCACAGATGTCAAGGAATTGCCAAAATCGAAAAAAGAAGAAAATATATATTCCATAAGTCCCGGGAATTTTAAATTGAAAGTTGGTCTTACTTTTTGGACACAGTAGTACATTCTTTGAAGGACCTCATTCCACAAAATAGATAACAAAACCTCAACAGAAAGAAACCTCCTCTTTTAAAATAACTCTCCACCCAAAAGCAAAAGGAAGTGTTCAAACGTTTACATAGTTCCCAAGTGTTTACATTGTTTGACTCACCTGACCAAAAAATTAAAATATATTGTAAATTATAAATGCTACAATCATTATTTCCAAGCACGAAACGATATTCCATAGTTTCGAAAATACTAATAGCTCATTGTTTGACCCACCTGATACTAAAAACTGAAATATATTGTAAATTATAAATGCTAAAATCATAATATTTTCTAAGTGACGTGATTCTTTTTCCAGCCAGGACCAGAAATTTCAAAAACACCCTAAATACATTTCTCAAAGGACCTCATTCAAGAAAATAGATAACAAAAAACCCTCCTCTTTTTAAAATAACTCTCCACCCAAAAGCAAAAGGACGTGTTTACATTTTTCCAATATACTCGAGTGACCTGAAATACCGCAGAACGATTTCCACTTGTCAGGACAGCTAGGCAGTGTATTTTATTGGAATTACAAATTTGTTAAAATATTTATAGATAAATAAAAAAAATATTAAAAATATGAATAAATACAAATTTCTTAAAAATATAAATCATTTGAAAAAATACTGTGTTATTCTGATAATATTATCCATATAAACTAATACCAAAAATTTTAAATCTTATATCGTTCTTTTATATCATTTTTTGATATGAGATGATTATTAATTTCCAGTAGAGTCAAAAATTCAGAAAAAGAAAAAAAATGGTCAATATCTTATTTTCTATACGGTCATTATTGAAACTAATCATAATATTTTCTAAATGACGTGATTCTTTTTCCCAACTGGTACCAGAAATTCTAAAAAACACTAAATACATTCCTTCAAGGACCTCATTCAACAAAATAGATAACAAAACCTCAACAAAAAAAAACCTCCTCTTTTTAAAATAACTCTCCACCCGAGAGCAGAAGGAAGTGTTTACATTTTTCCAATATACTCGAGTGACCTGAAATACCGCAGAACGATTTCTACTTGTCAGGTCCGCCAGGCAGTGAGCAAGAACATGCACCACTCTTTATTTTTGGGCCTTGCCATCACTTGGACAACTGCCAGGACGGCCTAAGAATCTCATAAATTCTTAAAATATGTTTGCCCAATCATTGCCCTGACAGTCTGTTCCGGTAAACGACGATCAATTTCCACCACCTCTTCCGGATTTTGTGGTACTTTAGTACTGTAGTGCTTAGAGGTACTTTCAGCAAGAACCTTGTTTTCCGCCTTCGAAATATTTGCCCCAGGTAAAACCGTTATTTGATGACAAAACATTAGTTTTGATACAGAGAACACATGGCAAATATTTAATATCAAAAAATGATGTAGTATGTGGGTTTTATCAATAACTTTTTTTTTAGAATGCATAGTCTGAATTACTTTTTATAAATATCTGCCCCAAGGAAAAATGGGGTCTGTGTTAGTAATATTTGTTTTGAAATTACAATAGAGGGTAAATATTGAATTTTGAAAGAGTTCCCTGTTTTGCGTTTGTTTAATATTTTTTTCCGTTTTCAATTTTCTTCCTGGAAGATGAAAGAATAAGATGGCATATTATACTAAAATATGATCCTAAAAGAATGCTTTTTAATTTAAAATTTAGTGAGTGATTTTTACTTTTTAAAATAATAATTTATGACAAAAATACACAGTTTAAAAATACAGTATCCATAGTTTTTTTTGTAGTGAACCTTTTTTTTTCAATCGAAATATATTTACAAATTAACGGTTTTCAAATAAAACCAAAAGAAAAAGAATAAAAAAATATTAGAAAAAATTTCTCGATTTTAAATTCTGTATATTTTAAATTTTTCCAAAATTTAATCCCTGAAAAATATTATGTCTTTTGTATGATAATATTAATAATATAATTTAACATAAAGTTTTATATATTAAAGGCTAATTGATTTTACTATATAATCAAATATGTAAAACGATATATATTTATAAATTAAAGATTTTAAATTAAACCGAAAGAAAAATAATAAAAAAAATTTATACTTGTTTGAAATTTTCCAAAATTTAATCCGTGTAAAACATTATGTATTTTGTATGATTATATTAATAAATTAAACATAAAGTTTTATATATTAAAGGCTAACTGATTTTATTATATAGTTAAATATATAAATACACATATTTTATAAATTAAAGATTTTAAATTAAATCAAAAGAAAACGAACAGAAAATATCTCTACATGTTTGAAATTTTCCAAAATATAATTCAGATAAATATTACATATTTCATAAAATTATATTAATAAAATAATTTAACATAAAGTTTTCCACATTAAAGGCTAATTGATTTTAATATATAATTAAATATATAAAATTTGAAATATATAAATCCATATATATTCATAAATTAACGATTTTCAAATCACACCAAAGGAAAATGAACAAAAAAAAAATATTTGAAAAATTTTACGATTTTAAATTCTATACATATTTGAAATTTTCCAAAATTTAATCCATAGAAAATATTATGTACTTTATATAATTATATTAATATAATAATTTAACGTAAAGTTTTATACATTAAATGCTAATTGATTTTATGATATAGTTAATTATATAACATGTTTAAAATTTAGTAACGTTTGTTGTAATTTCATAAATAAAATGTTTTCATTGGGTACTTACTATATAATTTATTACATTTAATGAATTACTTCAATTAAATATCCTACACTGATGATTATCATAAATAATTTTTTTCTAATTGTTTTAACACAAATTTAAGAAAATGAATGATTCAGGTCTACTAGAATAAATAGATCGTTCAAGGATAAATAGATCGCGTTTCAAGACTTCTAAAATAAATAGATTTGAGTTGTCTATTATATTTTTTTTTTCGAAAAAGCAAATTATTATTTGAAAAGTTGACAAAAATATTATGAAAACAAACTCTTAAACGGATCTGCATAAAGCTGGAATCGACAAAAGCCCAATTATCCTAAAATAGTTAGTAGTACGTTACCCTGGTTAGTAGTTACTATTCCAGAGGCATGGATTATAACCCACTTTAACTTGTTTTCATCCCATGTGAGTTATTTGCCAAAATATTACTAAAGTACGCGTTAGTACGAGTACAGTTTATTATTTTTCTTCGTACTTCTTTGTGTGATTTATTTATATATTAGTTTTATTTTTATTATTATTTTGTGTATATTTAAACGCTTCTCAAAACTGATAAAGGATTAACATAATTTGAACGTGCTGCATAATAAAACAAGTAATATAAAAAAAAAAAAAATTTAAAAGTCAATTCCTACTTTTTTTCACTATATTGCAGAACGTCCTTTGTAAATAATTTTCATACATTTTTTAAAATTTATCTGGCGCCATCTATTGGTAGATATATGCAACTTAAAACTAAAAAAAAACCTAAAATTAATTAATTTAATTTAATTACTGAATTAATATTTGAAAAACCTGTATTAACATCAAGTGTCATCCACTACAAGTTCAAAAAAAAAATGTATTCGAACTTGAGTGGATGAATAAAAAGTATTTTATGAACGATTGAAAATTTGAACAAGATATACATAGGGAGAGT